ATTGCATTCAGCCATGGGTGCTGTGAAACCAGGCGGAGGTCACGTGTAATGTCCTGGGCCAGATCTTAAAGAAGCCAAGAGCCATGTTAAGAGCACTTAGGCACCTAAGTGTAATTCTCTTCTACCCTGCTCAAATCCTGAAAACCCATTACTGCATCACCTTGTGTAACACGCCACCATCTGCCCCTATGGACTGAGTCACAAAACAGCAGTGAGCAAGATGATGACCTGCCCACCTTTTGCTTTAACAATTTTCCAGGGACTCAACTGGGGCAGAACAGAGTTGCACCTAGGTGCCTACATCCATTTATGTACCTAATAGGTGGAATACCTAATAGGTGGGCAGTGTACTGCTAGGCTCCTGGTTCCTTGTTTGATTGCTGACCAAAATGGGAAGTGCATTTTATTGGCACAACTGACATGTTTGAGCACTTAGAAAAAGAGAACAGAATCCAACTGAACTGGATCTTGTTTGGATTCCAGCCACTCAAGCAGAAATTGAGAGGCACCGATTGCAGCCCAGACTGTCTCGAGCATGTGTGATTATGTACACAAAACCATAGAGGAAAGCCAATCCTACAGGGCAGACTGCTGAAAATCAAGAGTTATCTAAATAAGACAAAAGGGAGGTGACTGTGCCATAAGCAACAGCCCACATATAGAGGAGGTATGGCTGTCTGTCTGGGTCTTACTGGGGAACACACTGCTGGAGTATCTCAGAGCAGTATCAAAGGTATTGAGGTGTCTAAAGATTCAGACAGCTGCTCACTTGGGTTTTCAGAAGCACCCAGGTGTTTAAATCCTTCTGAAATCAGTGGGACTAAGGAGCCAAGGTGCTTTTGAAACCCCCACTAAGTGCCCTCCTGCCATTTCAGCTGGCTAAAGTGCTTTAAAAATCTGGCCCTTAATGTTCCAGACAGACATGCAACAGTCAGGTGTGTTTGGCCACAATTAGGTAGAACATATGTCCCTGCCCATCTCTGCTGGCTGAGTATGCAGATCTACCTCTGACACTAGCATCTTGGCTAAGTATAGACAGTCAAAATGCCTGAGGCTGAATTGATTCAATCTTTGCAGGTTAGCCTAACCTGCATAGATTGAACTGATAAACAAGTGAACAGACATTCACTTTTGATTCTGGAAATGCAGCCACATGCCTGCATTGGCCCAGGCCAGAAGCTGGGGGGTGCTACAGCACATCTGCCTGCTCAGTTGGAACAGACAGCTTGGGCCAAGGCCCATGCTGCAAGGGAGGGGAAGGTTTACAAAGCATCCTGGGATGCTGGGGAACTGTGAATGAACTTGAGTCTGGAGGGGATCTGGGCAGAAGTTCAATAAACTGATTTAACCTAAATCAGTTAAGTCTGATACTACATCCATCCAGGTTTATCCTAAATCAGTTTTGGCTATTTTGAAAGTGTTTTATGTGCACTAAACTTCTGTTGTGTTACAGATTTGAACTGGTTTCCGATCAATTACACTGGTTTATGCATAATTTCTGTCCCTGGCCCCTGTGTTTGGACTGTCATCCTGCAAGGACTGTGACTACTGCTGATTTCAGTAGAGGGAGGCATTTTATTCCCTCTCCTCTGCATGTGCACGCATGTACAATCATACACAACCTGGGCCAAAGCCTTAAGGCTTTTTGGCTTGTAGAAAGCAATTCAGGGGAATCTCTGACTCAGAGGAAATCTGAATGCCCTTCACAAAGCCCAAGCAGCCAGGTGGAGACCTGCCCTTGCATCTCAGAGGTAGGAGACAGGATCCTTCACATTCTGCAGCGTGGGTACTCGTCAGTGGTGAATGCAATTCCTTATTCTCCTTATGTAAAGCTTGTGGCCAGGCTTGGATGGATGTGGCATTCACAGCCTCATCCACCACAAATCCCTGTGGCCCACTTACAAATCTCCCTTGGAAATCCAGGCTGCAACTTTGCCCTTCAGAAGTCATAGGAGGGAGGAGGAATTCCACCTTAATGCACGGGCTCCCTTAGAAAACCCTTTTTACTAGTCCTCACCATTCACTGTCAACCCTTGAAAAACCCAAGTCGTCTTCAAGGGCTGCTAATGAATAGTGAGACCTATTAAAAAAACAGGTGCTTCTCTACTTCTCTAATCTTCCACTGTCTGAGGGCTGCATTGTGTATGCACCTTAGTTCTTGATTTTAGGAATTCGAAGTAAATACATTTACCCATTCTGCTGGGTTCAAAGACTCCCGCAGTTCTATAATCAACTCTTGTGTTCTCCTCTCTTGCCTGAATGCACTAAAATGACTGAATTAGGATGAGGAACACAAGCTTTTGCATCGATCTCCTGGTTGGGAATTAACTGAGGTTACGTTAATGAAAATCTCAGAATGTGAGGAATTGAGCTACTGTACTCACTATCGTAAGTCTTTGTATGAGCAAACACAATTAATCCACTGAGATCAGAGTGGTGCGGCATAATGAGAAAGGGCTTCCTAGGACCTTAAAGGAGAAATAAAAGGAGTTCTTACTCTCGTATGTGTTCAACAGGAAATGGAAGGAGAAGCTTCCTTTACTTGTATCATCCATTGCTATCAATGTTACCTGCACACATGGCAATATTGTTAAAGCATTACTTCAGCAATGGGGTTTTATGCTGGTCAGTGCTAAAGCAGGCTGACAATGACACAGACATATAAGGGATTACTCTCAACAGAACAAGTTGCCATGCAGGGAAATTACACAAGGACAAGGGGAATGCTTACCACACATTTAATGTAATTCCAAGCCAATGTCCTTTCATCTGTGCCAATATTACTTGCGTATGACTCCCTCACATTATTCAATTTGCCCGGATATTTATGACTTTGTCAAATCTCCATTATAGTTCATACGTTTAGGAAATATGGCTTACAGCTTCAGAGGCATAAGTCTGTACACGTTTGTTGTTAAACCACCACGTAGGAGGAGGAGGGAGAAGAAGAAACTGAATTATTTTGGCACTGAAAATAAAGGATGATTCCTAAAACCAAGACAGCCCTGCGACAGGAGTGTAGGGCTGTGGGGAAGTATAGTGGATGTCATTAAAAGCTTGCTTCTTGCTGCATTGCGGTGTTTGCCTTTACTGTAATAACGTGGGTACCGTCTATTTAAAAGGAGGACTGCCGCAAATAATGTGGTAACTTTAATTACCATGAAAGAGAAAACCTCTTGTTCTGAAACAATTCAGGTCTATGGGCTGTGCATTGAAATACTGAATGCTGTATTAATGGCATTTTGTCTTTGCCTTTGCAGTAATAAAATGGTAACCGTTCTATGAAGTGAGTCCTCTGGTGCGTGAATGGCCTCCACATTAATCACCTTCTGCAATCAGGAAGTTTTCCTACACGTAGATATATTCGCTCATACACGGTGATGAATCTTGGTCCCTATCGATCACCCAAATTTCCAGAGTTTGGTAAGCAAAGTTCTACTAATGAAACTATCAAGTAATACTGCTAAATAAATAAATAAATAAATAAATAAACAACCAACATCTGCAGCACCTCAATTGACACATGATTGCTTTCCTTTCATTTTTAAGACATTTAAAGGGAGGGAAACACTGATTCATGGGAAAAACTGAAAGCTGTTAGGTGCTTGGAAAAGAAAACAGAATGTAATTTCTAATGTGTTAGGGGGAGTTGCTGAGTGCCAGATAGTTTTCATTAGGGATGCTTGCCGGGACCATAATGTGGTTGGTGATATTATCATAAACGAATGATAAGCCAGAACAGAGACACAGGCAGGGCTCATTACATTACCTGAATGTTGGAATTAAAGCATTTTGATCAGGCTTCAGTTATTGACTAGCTTTGTGTGTGCAGATATACCTGGCTACATGCATGGCTGATTTGATCATACACAGATACAAGTGCAAAGCAATGCCCAGGTATGATTGGTGGTTGGTTTTATTACCAGCGGTAGGTTTTATATAGCATGATGTGTTTGTCTTGTCGGGCACTGTTATAGTCAGAACGATGCAGGGACAAAACAAAGGAACTCTAAAGGACATTAGTAAAAGCAGAGGGCCAGACTTTGCACTCAATGGCACCAGTGTAAATCTAAAGCGGCTGGTGTCATTGGCCAAATCTAAATTGAACAAGACCCACCCTGGCATATCTGAGAGCACAATCAGGCCCACTGCCATGTGATCTGGCTGCTATTGGTAGTTACCTGGTTTCTGTTGGGTGGGTAGGGTATTTCACTGAACAGGACTCATATGGGTGAAGGGGTGATAGAAGAAGACAAGAAAGAGATAAAAGTACAGCATGGAGTAAAGTTAACTCGGATGACGAGGGAATGTAAACTTGAACCAGATCTTTAATGAGACAGGAGATTCCTTAAGGCAGGAACTGTGCTATCTTGCATAATGATAAGCCTACTGATGGCACCTTGTAAATAATAGGCATGCCATCAGCTCAGAGCTTAAAGTAAGTGCCAGATGCACTGGAAACACAAACACAGTGTGAGAAGGAGATGTGAGCTGGCTAGAGATAGAGAGAGACTGAGTGAGACTGCTCTGAAAACAAGCGAGAAGTTTTCGGAATGCAATTCTCTTTTGCTGGGAACCAAAGTAGCTGTGCAAATAATGGAGTGAATCAGGGTAATGGAAATTTAAAACAGGCTGCATGTTTCTGAATGAGCTGTTGACACAGCAGACGGGAGTCTCGAAGGCAGATGAGAAGACCTTTTGCAAAAGTCAGAGGGGTGTTTTTCAACGCATCTAGCTAAGGTCTGGTGGCTTGTCTCTGTGAGATCAAACTTTCTAGAGAGGTATATTTCACTTCTGATCATAAAAAATATATATGGCTGTGTCATCACCAAATGAAAGGACATTTTGCCTTGTTCCCACATGAAAATGTATGATGTCCGAACTTGAAATCCAAGAACAAAGGTGCTCATGCTACACTAAGTCACACGAATTCAATTAAGCATGCTCCTTTTCTCCTCCCCAGTCGTCAATTATTCTTTAAAAAGTATTTTTCCCCCTACCAATAGTGCAGTGCTCTCCGTTCCAGCCTGGGCTGCATTCACACTTGCCGTCCCGGCATGTCCCATGCTCATTGCAGCGTGGGTGACACGCCCGCTGATCACAGGCTGTGCCCATCCAACCCTCCTCGCAGCGGCAGGGGCCTCCGACACAAATGCCGTGTCCTCCGCAGTCCGCTGCACAAATCTCTGTGGGAGAGGAGAAAAGAGGGGGGTGGGGGAAAGGGAGGGAGAAAGCCAGAATGTTATTTTTAAGAAAAGCAGCCACACTTCACTACCTCTCCTTATGGCGAATGAAAGGAATTCCTGCAGCTCATAACACTAATCCTTTCTGACAATAAGAATCTAATAAGTAGATTACAAAAAAAAAAAAAAAAAAAA